CTTTGTCTTTCAGTGTAATCAGTACCAAGATGTTATTGTCCCACTAATTATCTTTCTCCCATCAAATTTCTGGTACACCTATTATGTCAGTATCCATTAAAATCAGGCATCTAGTTCTTCTCATTAATTGCTGTTGTAGTGCTGGCTTAGAAGCATATATGGATTTGGCTGAGCTTTCCCTTTTTGCATGCTGTGTTTAGGTGAGACTTTATTTCTTTATTTGCTGTTTGCCATGTGCTATCTTAGTTTTGCCAGCTACTTTTTAGAATATACAGCATTTTTATTGCTTCATCTCTACAGGATGCATCATCATGAGCGGTGTAGAGGACATGCAGAAGGCATCTCCTACTTCTGTCAGTACGGCCTCTAATTTAAGAAGTCCCCTGTAACATTTTGGACTGGTAAATGCTCACTAGCAATGAGCATTTTTCTTCTGCAAGGTTTTGCCTTGTCTCAACCTCCATGGTCTCTGAAGTCTTATTTTATGCATGTGACTTTCCCTATGAATAAGTGGAAAGCAATGAAACATAAGCAGTTGCTGATCACCTGCTGCTTTGCCATTCATTGTGGGTATTATTCCATAGCTATCACAGCTGAAGCAAGTGAGGTCTTACAGAGCATTACAGTAACTTAGATCAGATTGTACCATACCTGAAAGGAGTTTGTCCTGCGAGTCCTGCCCTATGTTGGTGTGGCCATCTCTAAATTTTGAGCCAGCACTGGCCTTTGAGCCTGTTCCTGAAGCAACTTCCCAACAGGACTCCTCAAGCCAGAGCACCTCATTTCAGTACGTGCTGCAGGCACTGCAGGTGTTTGGAAAGTGCCTGAGTCACAGCCCCAGTGGACACCATCCTGAAAACTCTTGGGGGCACCACATTTCCTGCAAGCCCTCGCTCTTCCCCAGCAAAACTCTTCCAGCACAAATGCTGCCTCTAACTGATTTCCACTGTATGTATCTCAGCTTTCCCTTACACAAGGAGTTCAGCGGGTCATGACTCCTCCTCTGGCTCTCTGTCTCACTGTGGTTGACAGCTAAACTTTATAGAAGGATGCGGGAGCTTGAATCCCCACAGAGTTTGAGGCAGGGGTAGGAACACACCTGTATGTATGTTGCTGTGGTGTTATGCTAGTCAGTGAAGCCATTTAACAGATCATTTGATGGGACATATTGCTACCTTTTGCTTTCCATTGTGGTGCCATGGTTTCCAGACGTGGGCTTAGTTTCTTCCTTTTAAATGTATCCTCCATGCCTTCCTGGAAGCCCTCTCGGGTACACATTTTAACCAATGGAGAAGGGGAGCTAGAAGGTGCACCAAAAAGGTGGTAATGAAAGGAGGAGGGTGGTGAAGTGTGTCCCAGACAGAGTGTTCTGAATGGGTGCTGCAGCAGGGAGCTTGACAGAAAGCTGATTTGGCAAGGTTTTCAACAGCCCAATGGGAGAGGAAAGGCTGTAAGATGCATTCAGAAGTGGATCAAGTAGCTGAAGTCTAGGTGCACTTTTCATTGTAATGCATAAGTGTCCCTCACCAGATA